ATTGCAACAAATGTACAGGGAAAAATAAATGAATAAAAAGGACAATAAATGTGAGGTGTGAATATAGCTTTTACAGTTTTATCATTACAGAAGATATTAGAAGCTAAAAGTTGTTCAGCTCACTGAGAACAATGAGTTTCTCTCTTTTGTTTTTTACTAATGAAGCTGATTTAATGAAGCTGCAAAGCAACATGTTTTTATAAGAAAGAAGTATGTGTTTAAGTTTCATCAAAACTGGCTGACTTGTGCTGCCACCTGCTGGTTGTTGAGTGTAAATGATGATAAATTCAAAACCTACAAACTTAAACTTAGAGGAAATCAAGGCTAAGGAAAGAAGCAAACTGTGCATAAATAAAATGCATAATTTAAAAATGTTCAGATTGCTTGACTGAACAAAGTCATGAAATCTCAAATCAGTTAAATTCAATAAGTTTTTAATATCATCTGTATTTATTTTTGTTAATATTATTAGAGAGAAAATCTTTAAAACTGTAAAATGTGACTAGAACACAATCGAACTATAAGTCAGTCAGTCCGCTTTTAAATCCTTTACACGAGATGACAAACTTGTTTAAATGGAAATTACTGACAGGAATGTGACAATAAAACCCAACTCCACCACTAAATGAAGGGCAACAAAGCAACATGACTCTAAGGGTTGGTCAAAATCACTTAATTTAGTGATAAATAGGTTGTAAAAGTTAAAAAGCAATGCCTTTCATTAGTAGCAGTGGAAGTAATACTTCTGTTTTTCAGTTTTGAACCTATTTGTCATAATGGCAGTGTGTTTATTTGTCCACTAGATGGCGCCAGAAAGTTAATTAGTATGTACATTCGTAGGCTTAAATAGAGCATTTCACATTTGTAAATATTATATATTTTTAATTATATATATATTTAATCTCATAAGCCAAAGATATATTAGCTTCACTCCGTTTTGCTCAGTGTCCAGAAAGATTTACAAATGTATAGAAGTACACTTGTTCCTCAATAACTGTCTTGTTCCCTTTACTTTGATGGAATTAGTTTTTTTTTGTTATTACTAAAAATAATAATAATCCAGGCTGGGGTCACAGTTTTGTCTTGTAACGAGTCCAGGTGCAGAAACTGAACCAGGTCAGTACCAGGACTGCACTACGGTCCATTGTTGGTCCAAATTTGTCCGAACGTGTCTATTTAAAACCTAAAACCCAGCTAAAAGTCAGGCTCAACTGAGCTTTAACTGCTTTCTAATTTCTGATTTATATGAGATAAAGCTATAACTATAATAACATTAAACTATGTATTAAGATTATAACAACTTCAAACCAGAAAATATAATTAAAAACATTCAGTATCGTGCTGATAAACATGGAGTTACTTATGAATTAGTCGCCATAACCATCCTCCAACTTTAGCTAATTATACGTGAGAAATAAATAATAATATAAAAGACGTTGCAAAAGTTTTTTTTTTTTTAAGTCAGGATTTAATATATATATATTTTATTAAAACAAAAATTAAATTCAAAACATCTTGAACAAAATCTGTTTTGTCATTAAAGTGATTTAGTTATTTTACAGCTTGATCTAAACAAAAATAAAATTTACAAGAAAAGTAAAAGTATGGCGGCTGACTACCACGAGTGACTGTTGCACCTCCACCTCTCTGGAAACAATCTGCAGGATTAAGAAGGATTAAGATGTTTCAGGTTGTTGGACATCACGAGAATAAGTTTCCAAGGCTGACACCAAACTAAGCATGTTTGTTCTGACTCAGCTGGGTCAGTGAGGAGAAACCAGACTAATCAAGGTCACATTTGTCTAAACACCCACGTTCACTTTGAAAGAGTTGAAGAATCGTGAATCAGACTCCGTGGATTTCCCCCAGTTAGCATTTCTTATCTGAACTCTGCTTCACGCTTCCATAAGGTTTTTCTGTTTGTGTATGTTCAGACTTGGAAATCAGCGGGACAACAAAAGGAGGCCATAAACAAATGATAGGACACAGTAAACAGTCATGTGGGGTCACTTATTAACTTCATTTTACTGCTGAGGAAAACCAAGAACAATGAAACGCTGCAAGATCCATCTGGTGTTTGATATCACCGGAAAAATTCATGAAAATGATGAGAAGCAGTAAATCTGAAAAGTTTATTCACAGTAATCTTTTGTCAGTGAGAAGACGTGTGTCCTTTTTTTGCGTTTGCTTGACTCATTCAGTGTTTATTGTTTTCATGTAAATGGTTTTATTATTATTTATGTATTTATTTTGCAATCTGACTACTTCCATAAATCTGGTGTCATTGAAGCCGAGGTTCAGCTCATTCAAGGGACGGCCACTGTGACTCTTTTGATTTGTACATTTTTTTTAAATTTCACTTTATTTACAAATAGGTGTAAAGGTTAGAGAAGGTGAGCCTGTGATTGAGAGGTGGCCTGTTTGAATATTACCTTTTAACTTGCCTTTTGCAACTTTTTACTTTTGGCTAGCCTTTTGCTAATTTAGAAAGCCTTTAGCCACTTTTAGCTTATAACCATTGCTTTTAGCTAGCCATTTGCTACTAGTAGCATTTTTCTAGACTTTTGCGATGTTAGCTTTAATCTAGCCTTTTGTTGTTTTTAGCTTTTAGCAGGTGTTTTTTTTTTTTTTTAGCTTTTAGGTAGCCTTTTGATAAATTTAGCTAGTATTTAATTTAGCTACCGGTAATATTTACAGTAGTTTTTCTACTTATTGCAAGCCTTTTGCTGCATTTAACTGTTTTCTAGCCTTCTGCTTCTTTTACATCTTTTCCTAGCCTTTTGTTATTTTTACCAGACATTTTTTTACCTTCAAGATCACTTTTTGATCAAGTTTGAAAGCAGTTAGCTACTTTTAACCTTTTGCCATATCATCATCAGAGACTCATCAGAGACTTTACTTTCTCAGGCGGCTGAGGCGAGTTGGTCTGGGTAGCTCAGTCCTCACCTCCTTCTACATGATTTAACCATTTTTGTTGTTATCTACCTGGATGACTGAGCTTACAAAACTTTTTTTTACTTCTACAGGTGTGCAGTGGAGAGCATCCAGCTCCAGCATCAACGTGTGGCATGGAGGCCGCACAGCTGCAGAAAGAAAAGCTCTGCAGAGAGTGGTGAAGGCTGCACAGAAGATGTTGGCGTCAGCTTCCTCACCATCACAGACATCTACACCTCCAGATGCAGGAAGAGGGCCACCTGCACCATGAAGGACCCCACTCACCCAGCACACACACTTTTTGCCCCACTCCCCTCAGGCAGGAGGTTAAGGAGCATTAAGTGTAGAACCACTAGACTGAGGAACAGCTTCTACCCTGAGACTGTTAGACTCATGAATCTCTAACCAGAATAATCACTGTGAAAAATCACGTCATGTTGCTGCTGATCTGTTTCATGTTGCTGCTGATCTGTTTCATGTTGCTGTGTTCATGCGTGCTCATCTGCTCACACAGACTCATGTTCGTGCTGCTGTTTGGCGTATTGTGTTAATTGTTTTTATGCTATTAGTGCTTAGCATATTTTTAGTTAATGTTTTTCTTAGTTCATCCATCCATTATCTTTTACCCGCTTCTTCCATTTTGGGTCATGGGGGTCGCTGGTGCCCATGTCCAGCAGTCACTGTGCGAGGGGCGGGAGACACCCTGGACGGGTCTCCAGTCCATCACAGGGACACATAGAGACAAACAACCATTCACTGTCTCACTCACACCTTGGGACAATTTAGAGTTACCAATCAGCCTAACATGCATGTTTTTGGTCTGTGGGAGGAAAGTACCCAAAGAAAACCTTCACATGCACGGAGAGAACATGCAAACTCCACCTAGAAAGGCCCCCCGACTGGGATTTGAATCGGGGACCTGCTCGCTGAGAGGCAGCAGCTCTACCAGTTGCGCCACCGTGCTGCCCAGTCTTAGTTCATATCTTAGATCTTATTACTGTTTTTCTTTTACATTTTATTGTTGGATGTAACTGGGACCTTGTGTACACAATTTTGTTCCACCACATGTCCCACATATGGTACGAATGACAAAGAATCTCTGAATCATATTTAGCATTAATCTAGCTTTTTGCTATGTTTAGCTTTTAGCCTTTAACGATGGAGGGTGGAATGTGACAAAATGAAATAAATAAATACATTATTAAATGTATCATTTAATTATAGTCCCGCCCACTGAGTTTGACGAGTGAGGATGACAGTTAACAGAATTTCATGGTGACACTGGAAGGTGGAACATGACAAAATTAAATAAATAAATCACAAAATGAAAAAAAATTAAAAGGTGCATTTATTTATTTCATGATTTAATGAATTAATTAATTAATTAGTTGTCCAGTTTTCTGTCGTATGAGTTGTTGTACATCTGTCCAGAATGCCATATGATTACACTGATAGAATAAATGAGAAATTGTTTCCATGTGTAGTTCACATAATATATAAGAATAGTCAATATCACATTTAAATCTTTCCAATTTTTATTTAACAGGGTATACATTATGAATAATTTTATATGAAACTTCTTTAACTTTATTTGTTATGTAAAATGTCTCCCCCATTTAACCAAACTCGATTCCAATTAACTTCTTCAAATATACAAGACCAAAAAAAAAAAAAAAATCTACCTGGAGATAATCTTCTTGCAACCTGTTTTTTTAGTGATCTCCATTCCACCTAGCATTATGGGTCTTCTAAGTTGGTCTCTAGATAAATTATCAGATTTTGTTTCTCATGTTTGCATATTTATATATCGGCCAATTGAAATTCTATGTCGTGACTCCTGTAATTTAACGTATCGGATTGACGTAAGTGTGACGTCATGACGTCGCGTAGTAGAATGAATGAGGTGGCCAGTTAGGGCGGCGCGAGCCTCGATTTATTCAGTCTACACTGAGCGGAGGAATACACTATGATGCTGTGAATCGTCTTTTTTATACCCTGACTTCTTCGATGATCTTTAAATCAATATCGTACTAAGATCTATATTTTACCGGTTTGTCGGAGCTCAAATGGCACGAGGAGAAGGCGCGGAGCAATACGCTGCAACTTTACTGACGGTTAAACCTATAAATACGGATATAAAGATAGTAAAGGTAAGGTTTTATACGCTTATTCTGATATTTCTTTTTAATTTAGTAGTTTAGTTTGTCGTCACTTTCACCTAGGAGCGTAAAAAGGCGCCTAAATTTAAAGTTTGGTTAAAAATTGTGGTCAGGACTTCCTCCCGTCGTGTCCTTCCCTGCCCTCCAGATTTGAGTTTCACCTGGTTTTTCCTCTGTCCTCGGGGATGTTTAAAGAAGTTTACACACCAGCTTTAAAAGAGACCTAATCTACCCAGAAATATGTCTTAAAGTTCTTACTCTTGTCCTCAAAACTTGAGACAGATGTGCTGCAGAAGCAAGGTGCTTTGCTCGTGTATACTTCAGGGACATTAATTTGAATAGCGCAAACTGTGGGAATTTTTAGCTACGTCGTTAAAAGGTTACATTAACGTAGCTGTTGAACATTTTAAACAACTATAACTTTTATTTAATCACACATTGTCCTTTTTTTTGCGTTGTGCTCGCTTATTATGAAATGTAATAACTCATATAAATGTAAATTAAGACTGGTTTTAGAAGTCTGATCTTTCTCGTGGGGATTGTTGAAAAGAAAGTACATACAACACAGTACAATAATTAACTTGTTTTTTTTTCAGCAGTACCTGAAACAAAATGTTAGACCTTCACTATGTTGAGGTTGTTTAAGCTGCTTTCTTTGGTTTGTATTTTTATGCATATAAAGCTGGAGTTTGGCTTTGACCAGCTGTGACTGGTCTGTTTAATAATTAAACACATTTTTCCAGATATGTTTTTAGGCTATAAAGACTGTCAGTCTTTTTATTTAAAAAAAAACAACAACTTATCCTTACTGAAAGACTTTTAAGGTTGTCAGGAGGTAAACCTTTATTTAGCTGAAGTTTTTATTTTTAGTTTGACATGATTACTCTTCCAGACTGGCAATACTGCAATGCAGACTTTGTCAGGAGAGACTATTGCTAACACCTTATGTTAGAAGTAGTTTGAGTTCAGAAAAAGGTGATTCATCTTTAGCCGACTGGCCGTGGTGGCCATAAAAAACACCTCAAACATCCTATTTCAGGAGCCAATGGCTGCGCTCGGCTGATGTAGTGATGCATCAATGAACTCCAGTAACCTCAAGGCCGCATTCAACCTCAGTTAAACAGCACGATGAGCGAGTGTTTGAAGATGAAGATGTGGGATTAATAAACTCGTCATCCAGCATTTACAGTCAGGAGCACAAACCGTTTTGTATTCGCTCTGTTAATCATCTCCTTTACTTTTGTCTTCCAGCCAAAAGCACGCAGGAAGGGTCTGTCTGTGTGGAATAAACTCTGCTATGCCTTTGGAGGAGCTCCTTATCAGATTACAGGCAGCGCTCTGGGCTTCTTCCTCCAGATTTACCTTCTCGATGTCGCACAGGTGATTTCACAAGAAATGCACAAAAAAAAACAAGAAAGGAGTCAGACCTGTTGTGTGATTACAAAATGGCACTCAGCTCTGACTGTAGAGTTTACGAGCTGTTGTCCGAGTCCATTTTCTTTCCAGTAGCAACACTGATTAGCTTCAAGGCCAAAGTTTGTGTTAATCCTTCTCGTATCATTTTAGCAGTCTTCATTCTGCAGCGCTCAGTCAAGCGCAGGAAGCCGGACTCCCCGTTGTTTGCTTTGTTTCCGAATTAGTCTTTTCCCACTGTCCTCAGCAGGAACTTAAATAATAGCTGTTCAGCTCTAAAGATGAGATCATTCACTCCTCTTTTGAACCACACCAGGTCATATATTTGTTAATCCTTTTTGCCTGTGTCACCCCTCCATTCTTGTAGCTGGATCCCTTCTATGCCTCCATCATCCTGTTCGTGGGCAGGGCATGGGATGCTGTCACGGACCCAACGGTGGGCTTCCTGGTGAGCCGGAGCAGATGGACTCGCTTCGGACGCATGATGCCCTGGTAGGTGCCCAGGTTGTGATTCTGATCATTGAGGAGGTAACGCATAAGCAGCCAGGATGTTGAGTGGCACATACGAGCCAAATAGGCTGACAAGAATGTGAACGTAACCATGGCAACAGTGGGTTAATTAGCTTCTAGGGAGGAAAGAAATATAAAGAGTCAAGGAATGCATACTGACAGTGAAAACATGTCATAAGATGCACAATTAAAACTATTAAAAAGTGCTATTAAATGATATTTTCCCTGAAACTTGCTAACATTATTATGAATGTGTCAAGGTTATCTAGTCCCACCTCCTGCGCTCAACATGCACCCCTGAAAGCATTTTAGGACTCCATATAACAAGGGGTTAAAGTGCAGACAATAAAATGTATGTTCTTCGTTGTTTTATAGCCCCTGCAGTCAAATTTATGCAGCTGAGCTCCATAAGGAAGTGGGTTCATAAAAATAGGCGGCTTTGAGGTTGTGCCTTTTGGAGTGAGGGGTTGCATTTTTGTTTCAGAAGCCAGCACAGAAAGAAAGCCATGATGTGAAGGTGCTCCGGTGTCGTCGCCCAAACGTGGCAGCGGTCTGAGTTTTAAATAAATGGATCTCTTCAGCTGTGCATGATTCATGCTGTAGGCCGAGGCGGGGGAGGGTGAGAGGAAGTTGCCGGCTTCTGTCGCGATTGGTCCAACCCACAACACACCATCAGATTCAAACCAATGAGGAGAGGAGAGCGAGCGCCACGTGTATGTTTGATTCCCTGAACAGCGGGGCGGGGGGATTTGCAGAAACTGACCTCATGTTTATGCTTGGTTGAAACAAGGAAGGTCACTTAAAAAAAAAAAAATAATAATAATAATAAAGACAACAAATGCATGAAAGAACTTTCAGCTAATTTAGGAGGAACATACTAACTTTTTATGAATTTGAATGATCTTATCTGCGTTTTAGAGTTTGACCTTCTGATGGCTCAAAATGAAACCAACCGCTTGAGTTTTTAATGACACGAGTGACATCGTTTCATCTAACATCATGTGAATGCACACAAAGCATCTCTGTGTTTCACTTTACGCCCCCGAGGATTAAAGTTTAACCGTATTTTCAGGAGTAGATTGTGAGAAGTGATGAAGTTTTACTGTGCAGCTGTTTGACTTTTACATAGAGATATTAAAATCCATGGTTGCGCTTATGTTTTTGCCTTCGTCTGTGTGTGTTAGCGAAAATTCCCATGAACTTGAGGACAAACTTTAATGAAACTTTCAGGAAGTAATGATTTAATGTGCATTTACAGCTGAATTCAAGATGGCTGCCACAGCTTATACGTATTACCAAACCCAAAAATGGCTAAAACTCTCATTTTTACAGATATGTATCTAAAATTTGACGTGGTAATAGCTGAGAGTCACGTGATGCATGATTTGGAAAAGAGATGTTTTCTATAAAAAAAAACAGGTTAATCTGAACTCAGCTGGGTGTTAAAAACATGGCTGGTGAACGGGCTTGAGTTATGACACCGAGGTCATCTGCAGGGCTACACAGGAAAACCTCGGTGGGCCGAGCATGACCTCGCTTTTCGGGCCAACTCGCACTAACCCTGACCGGGCCTTTTTCTTTTTTCTTTTTACTACCAAGGCAGGATTAAGGGGATTACTCATAAAGCGACAGCAAGAGAGTAGATAAGAAGCGACTGCAGGGGGATAATTAGATGAAAAGCTAATAGGATGTGTTACAGAACTCCTTAAACACATTCATAAAGAAGAAACACTGTATTTAACCATTTAAACACTTTTCTCTTGTAGGATCCTTTTCTCCACTCCGTTCGCAGTACTAACGTACTTCCTGATCTGGTACGTGCCTTCGTTTGAGGAAGGGAAGGTCATCTGGTACCTGGTCTTTTACTGCCTCTTCCAGTCAATGCAGACGGTTAGTTAGATACTCATTAGTTCCTCTTTATGGCACAGTGTACACGTCTCTGACCGTGTGGTTTTGCTTCACTGCAGTGCTTCCATGTGCCATATTCAGCCCTCACCATGTTTATCAGCAGCAACCAGAAAGAGCGCGACTCTGCCACCGCCTACCGTACGTCGCTCTCCCTGCGAGGTTAAATGCACTCGTTTTAATGTCCTTGCTGACACTGCGTACACGTTTCTCTCAGGCATGATGGTGGAGGTGCTGGGAACCGTTCTGGGCACTGCGATCCAGGGTCAGATAGTTGGTGGCGTCTCCAGTTGTCCCGCTGAGCTCAACAACACCAACAGCTCAAACTCCACAGCCGACACAGCCAGAGTTTCACTGGAAGAGACGGTGAGTCTCTTCAGTCTCAGGATGTCCAAGTACATACAAGTTACCGTATTTTTCAGACCTTAAGGCGCATTAAATGAAACAAGTCAGATAAGTCAAACTTTATTCAACTCATTCATAATAACTCAACATTGTTCAGTGGCACCACATAAAATCGATTTTAAGTGTGCCTTATAGTCCAAAAAAATACAGTACCACCAGATAAAACGTGTACAAGTTTCTGTCAGTTTAAATGTGCAGAGCAAAGAAGGAACTCTTGTAGAAAATGTCAAGCACCTTCTCTTGTTTGTAGCCACCATGAGCTCCTGGTCAGCTTGTGGAAATTGTCACAAGAAGTTTGTGTTATCCTAAATCTTTCTGTCTCTGCTTCCTGTCTGCAGAAACGAGCGTACATGGTTGCTTCAGGGGTCATCTGCATCATCTACGTCTTGTGTGCTCTAATTGTGTTTTTTGGCGTGAAGGAGCAAAAAGGTATAAAACAAAAAGATGGGGTCATATTTTTATTTGAATGCACTTTGGTCAACTTCTTTAAAGTTCTCCTGGCTTTACAAAATGCTTGCTTTACCCTGACATCTATAAACAATCATGCTGCAAGTGTAAAGGGACAGATTCATTATCATTTGTTGACTCATTAGCACCTGTTGTTTAAAATATTTGTTTCTCACTTTTCACAAAGAATGAAAGGAATGTGGAAACCATATACCGTATTTTCTGGCGTATAAGTCGCATCAGTCAAAAAAAGCATCATGAAGAAAAAAAAACATACAAGTCGCTTTGGCGTATAAGTCGCATTTATTATGCGTTTATTTAATGGTCTAAACGGCTTCATTTCGCCTGGGCGGCGCAGCGCCATCTATCCATCCATCGTGGCCGGAGCTGCTAGCTCTCTAGCGTTCCTCCTCCTGCGCCAGCTGAGTGAAGTGAGCGCGCACGGGAGGACTCAATGTTGTAGTTATTCGAAATTTAAAGCATCAGTCAAAAATTGCGCTATGAATATGGAAAAAAAAAACGTATACAAGTCGCAGTAGTGACAAATCTATGCAAAAAAACGTTGACTTATTCACTGGAAAATACGGTATTAGCAGCAGAGGCTAAATGTCTCCAAGATGCATCTGAAATATCAGCAAGGTGTTTTATTTGTCTTGATTAATTAATTTTTTGTTTCATCTTTGATTGCAGAGAGCATGCGGAAAACCTCCGAGCCGCTCACCTTCCGCCAGGGCATGTTGTTAATCCTGAGTCACGGACCGTACATCAAACTGCTCGTGGGGTTTCTCTTCACATCCCTGGGCTTCATGGTAATCATTCTGAACGTTTTACTACTTTAGACAAGCTTTTATTGTCAGCTGTGAGTTGTAGAGTTGAACTCCCTGTTTTAATTTAAACTGATTTGTTTTTCAGTTATTGGAGGGAAACTTTGCTCTCTTCATCACCTACGCTCTGGGCCACAGGGAGGACTTCCAGAATATCCTTCTGGTCATCATGGTGAGTATGTTTCCCCTCCTGGAACAGCTCTTATCAGGAGTTAGAGGACAGTGGTCCGGGTTTTCTGAGGCCTGTCTTCCATTCGAGGACACACGTGCCTCCAAGGCTGAGAGGTTGGCGTTTCAGGGGGAGAGGAGCTCCTGAGGAACTCCCACACGTTTACTGTGTCTTAGCAGGAACTCTTTGGAGAAACGATGGGGCGTTTGTTGCCAGGACAACCCTTCACTTGAGCCTTTTTCTCCGTTTTCTTCTTTCCTCTTTGCTACATTGCCATTGGGAGGGCAACATTTTAGTTGTTTGCTGACTCTAGAGAGGTGTTCTTGAATTAAAAGTACTTGTTGCGAACTATAAAGTCAGTTTGGCCTGAACTTTATTAACAGGTGAAGTTTGAAAGAGTTTATTCCACAAACCGGTTTTTCCTTTTAAGATGATTTGTCATTTTATTATGACTTTGTAGGAGAATCAAGTTTAGTTTAAGTAATGGGGAAAAAATAATAATAAAGTTCACTTTTTATTTAGGTAGCTTTTATTTTACCCAGCGAGTGAGTTCAGTTGACAATAAAACAATTCAAACAGGAACGTTTTAAGACTCTTTATCTTATATTTTATTTAAGAGAGTCATCTACTATTTTAAAATAATCAAAATAAAATAACCTAATCTGTTTTACAAGGTACCAAATCCCCAAATATTCAGAGGAAAATATTTCAGGTTATGTTTCATATAGTTACATAATTCAGCCTTTTGTGAGCAACAAGTGTTGGAGCAAACACAAAATGTTTCTCTCGGCGCTGCTTCGAAACATTTGCTGCCCTCGTGGTTGCATAAGGATTGTTAATACTGAGCACCGTTTTCTTTTTGTTTTAACTCCTCCAGCTGTCCGGGACGCTCACCATCCCGTGGTGGCAGTGGTTTCTGACTCGCTTTGGGAAGAAGATGGCAACTTACTGTGGCACCTTGGTAAGATCACTTCTCTGAACAGCATCAGAACTTAATTAAAGCCGCAGGAGGTTCATTTCCCTGACGCTTGTTTCTGCTCCTGCAGTGGGCAATGCCCTTCATGATCCTGATCGTCTCCGTCAAGAGCAACCTGATCATTTCCTACATGGTCTCAGTGGCAGCAGGTGTGAGTGTGGCAGCAGCTTTCCTCCTGCCTTGGTGAGCACGTTTTGCTGATTTATTGTTATTATTATTATCATCTGTCTTTTCTGTTCACTCCGTCTTGAGCTTTCTTCTGAATGTTTGTGTTTTCAGGTCGATGCTCCCCGACGCAGTGGACGACTTCAAAGTTAAAAACCCGGACATCTACGGTCACGAAGCGCTCTTCTACTCGTTCTACGTGTTCTTCACCAAGTTCGCCTCTGGGCTGTCCCTGGGTATTTCCACTCTCAGTTTAAAGTAGGTCTAATCAGTATTTCTTGCATTTTTTTCCTCCTGTACGTTTCCGTTTTCATCCTTTAATCTATAATCTCAAGTTCTGCATGCGATTACGTCCTCCATCATGTGGTCAACATCCACATCAGCTGAATTTATTCTGCGTGTTTTTGCAGATTTGCTGGGTATGCGACTGGCGAATGCTCCCAACCTGAGGCGGTCAGTTCAACCTTGAAGGTTCTGGTCTCTCCTGTGCCCATAGTCCTGATCGCTGTGGGGCTCTTGGTTCTGAGGACCTACCCCATAGACGAAGAAAGGAGACAGGGCAACCGCAAACAGCTGCAGGAAATGTTGTAAGTCGAAAGAAAAATCACACATTTGATCCATAATTATCTACTTTCTGCATGTTTTTTTAGCTTATCTGCACAAGTTAATTTCATCTGAGTATTTTCTTTATTTTAACAGAGATTCTGAGTCTGAAACCTCAGAATCCTCAGATTTTGGAAGCAGTGTATAGCAGCTGCCTTGCATGACCAACACAGCTCCCATCAGCATCATCATCGAGCTACAGCCGGTTTTGGCGCCCTCTAGTGGCCGATCTGCGTTTTTGAAGTATTTTCTGTTGCCTTTACAACCAGCTGTGTGCTAATTAATCTGTGAAAAACAAGCAACATGTGAATTAACAGCTCAGAATTGTGTCCGAGTAAAACCAGACTGCAAAATTATTTAGTTCTTTTTATAGTTTCACTTTGTAAAACAAGTTTTTATCTCATTGTTAGAGTGAAACATGACACAAATGTGTCCAAACGGCCACCTCATGTTTTTCCAAAGATTTTTCTTGTTTACTGAGATGCTGCAGATTTTTAGTACAAATATGCATTTTTTTTTTTATCACCTCTTCCTCTTGTTTGACCGCTTTACATCCACAAAGCTTCGTTATGAACTTGATTTTGTCTCATTGTGGCTGACAAAGTATTTATTTGCTGGTTTGTGCCACTTGTGTGATGTTACCTTATGTGTTTCCAGTCAGAGGTCTCCTCTGAGGGAATTATTTATTATTGGCCCTTATTTACGGGGCTCACAAACATCATCCACTCATATGGAGCTTTGTCAACAGCGTCTACGATTAGTTTGTACAGAAGAACATTTAATGGAGACGTGACCTGTACTTGAATTTTCTGAAGGTTAAATGGCGTTTATTTTTTTTCTACAATATGAGTACTGAGATATCTGAATCACTGCCTTATAAGCACATGTATTTATGGTTGCAAAGAGATTTTTCTGTTGGACTCCAAAATATTTTTTGTTTTTCAGCTTTAATGTTTGTCACTTTATGTGAATTTAAAGTCTAGAGGTCATTTCATGCAGCTTGTCACTTCCCGAGAGGGGAAAACTCTTTATTAAACTATTTATTTAAACATGCAGTCTAAAGGATTACAGATTAAACACGTGTATAATTTATTGAACATTGTTTAACGGGGTGCAATAGTTCCCACTTGTTTCCACCTCGTGGTGTTTCTGGAAAGGTTTTACAATCTTGGTGTAGTTTTTCCTTTTAAAGGAGTTTAAATTGCACTGAATGAAACCTCCTCCGCCTCTCTGTGGTTCTCAAAGTGTAACTGCTGCTGTTTGTATAAAATGTAAATACTTTTTCAGAGTTTGAAATTAAATATAAATCGGCACAAAAATAAAACCCGATGAGTTGAACACTTGTGACTTGTATGAAGGAATAAACTTTGCTGAATAAAAAAAAAAAAAAAAAAAATTGTTTCTTTATGAATTGAGGTCAAGTGTATTTTTTTCTGTTAGGAACTTACTTTGGGTCAAAAGCATTAAAATACAGCACAGGATTTTTCCTGATTGAAAATTTGTCTAAACTACAGACAAGGTTTAAACAGATCTTTATTAGGTCTAAAAGATAAAGTTTAACAGACTTTCCAAAAAAAGTTCAATCTGGTCCTCTGGACATTCAAAAAAAACAAAACAAAGCAAAAAAATGTAGAAACGTTTCGTCTCTCATCTGAGAGACTTCCTCAGTCTGAGGTGCTGTTTTCAGTTCAGTCTCTTAAATAGCACCTTCTCAGAGTGGATCAACCAGTTTTGCTGCTGACAACCAAAACCAGCTGATCACATGCTCAAGAAGGACCATCAGCCTATTAGCACACTGATGGCTGTTTACTGTTCACAGAGGGCTGAGTGATACTAGCAATCACAGCATTGTAAGAGGGGGACAGTTGAACCCGGAGGCCTCCACCCCTGTTTAATGATGGACGATTTCTTTTCACAAAGATGGCCTCCTTTACTCCTCTCTCAAACCATCGTTCCTCTCTGTCCAGGATGTGAACATCTTCATCCCTGAAAGAGTGACCGCTGGCCTGGAGATGAGTGTAGACCTCAGAGTCCTGGCCTGATGATGTTGATCTTCTGTGCTGGGCCATCCTTTTGGCCAGTGGCTGTTTAGTTTCCCCGATGTAAGACTGATCACAGCCCTCCTGACACTGAACAGCATACACAACATTACTCTGTTTGTGCTGGAGGACTGGATCTTTGGGATGAACCAGTCTTTGCCGTAATGTATTTTGGGGTTTAAAAGCCACTGGGACGTTATGTTTAGAAAATAAACGTCTCAGTTTCTCTGATACTCCCTCAACATATGGAATGACCACTGGTCTGGGTCTGGGTTCCTCCTTTTCACCTGATGGCTGACTGGAGTCCTGTTTGGGTTTCTTCTCTGCTTTAAGGAAGGCCCAGTTAGGATATCCACATTGCTCTAGAGCCTGTCTTGTGTAGAATTTTTCCTTCTGCATGGCTCCCGAGCTAGTGGGGATGCTGTCTGCTCTGTGATACAGAGTCCTGATGACTCCTAACTTGTGCTCCAAAGGTTGATGGGAGTCAAACTGCAAATACTGGTCTGTGTGGGTGGGTTTGCGGTACACCTCGGTTTGCAAAAGTCCTCTATCAGAGACTGAGACCTCACAGTCCAAGAAAAAGACAGATTTAACTTTTTTAGATTTTTTTTTAAACCTGGATTATAGAGCATGCATCAGGATAAAAAATAGAGCAACTTTGCTGCAGCAGAGTTCAAAGAGAACAGTGAAGAGGCTGAATTATATGTTATGAGGAATACATTTATAAATAAAGTTGCAGCACCTCCTGAATGAGCTAAAAGTTTGTATTCATGAACGTCTCAGCACAATGTAGAAGCAGACTATTAAAAAAAGGAAAATATAAAAACAGTGAGAATGATGGAGCTTTCACACAATAAATCTTTACTAACAATAAGTTTGGTTAACTGTGTGTTCGTATTAATATATTTATTGAATTGCTTTTTTTATATAAAGAAATAAACCAACTTATGTTTGTGAACTTGAACCTTTTTAATCAGCAGGCCGTGCAGGTGATGCGCTGATTACCTGCAGCTGCGCACAGACGCGCTCTTTACGCGTGGGTTGAAAGTGGAAGACAGACGCACACCAGTCTTTTTGCGATGAAAACAAAGCGGTGGTTTATTTTATTTATTTTGTTTAACTTTTTTCTGTCCGTCGGCACGCTCAGCTCTGCTGCAGAAACCTTGAAGCAAAGGAGGAAGGTGTTCAAACCAGGTCTTCAGAAACCCAAACGCCTCAAACTGTCCGCCAAAGCGGAGCGGAAGTCCCCGCTGAGGTTCCCGGGTGGCTCCTCTCTGTTGTCTCACATCAACTGGAGCAGGACCTTTCACTCCAGCTCCATGGTGGCTCCGTCTGTGGGTGCTGGAGAGCCCCAGGCGGACTTCGCCTACGTCCCGGACGTCTCAGTCACCTGCTCCACGACGGACTTCGTGGTGCGCGTCAAACCAGCTTTCTACGGCCTGGGCGCAGACGCGCAGGAGTTGACTTTAGGCAGCAGCTGCAAGAGCAACGGGGTCCTCCGGCCATCAGGTGACCTGCTCTTCACCTATCCCTTAACGGAGTGCGATGGAGCGCGTGAGGTAAGACGGCACACGTGGCTCCTCTGAATCCTGAAAGCGCAGCACCTAACTTATCTTTACGCACAGCTCCCTCCGGGATATCTGGTCTACAAATACGTGCTCCATTATGAAGCCTCGCCGAAACGCTTCCCAAGCAGAGCACAGCAGCTCCATGTCAGCATCGAATGTCATTATGAAAGGTTGGACTTGACTCTTTGCTCTTTAAAGCGTTCAGTTCGTGTGAAAATGTGTTGAATCCTAACAGCTCTGCACTCCTGCAGGGATCATTCCGTGCACCAGCTGGCGGTGCAGCCCACATGGCAAACTGTCGTTCTGCGTAAAACTCTCAAAGGACGTCCCATGGACTTCCAAATCAACTTTATGGATGGTAAAAATACATTCAGGGTGCATCTTCTTTAGTTAAGAGGACTTGTTTTTATGATGTGATACTAACCGACTCTCAGATTCATTCACAGCGCACACCAAGCCTCAGGTGTACCTGCTGGGACAAACTGTTAACATCCAAGTCTCTGCTCCTCATCTGCCTCCTGGATGGAAGCTCTACATCAGCAGCTGCTACGCAGCACCCAGTGCCTCCAAATCCTCCCTCAAATATACCATGATAGACAACTTGGGGTATGTAAAAACAAAAGGTTGGGTGTCTGCATGTGTTCTTGTGTCCACATTGTTCTCATGGGTTCACAGCTGTATGGTGGACAGCAAGCATGAGCCCGGGGCTTCACAGTTCGTTTCTCGGACTGACAGCACCTTAAAATTCTCCTTAAGGGCCTTTCAGTTCACAGCTGACCCCAAGACTGAGGTGAGAGTTCAACTGAATAAGTTTGTGGATTTGTAACAAATACAAACGGCTAAATTTTCTGTTTTAGGTCAGTATCCACTGCAAGTTATCGGTCACAACAGAGGGTCCGGACCCAGTGCACAAATCCTGCACCTACAAAAGTCACAGGTGAGCGCTGATTATACTTTTAACTGTGGATTTTACGTTAATATTTTTTACTGTTTTCATCTAATCTTAAAATATCTTTTGATTGAAGATGGGAGGCTCTTATTGGCCATGACTCTATATGTGAGTGCTGCGAGTCAACATGTGCAAGCTCCAAACCGCAGAGGGTTTTACTGGAAGGTCTGTCCAGTCAAACTTTTTATTTTTTTAAATCAGATTAAAAAGGGATACACAATATCATAAAGGTGTTGCCATACTAGTAAAAAAGTGCCTTTTTTTTTATGAAAACTGGCATTTTGCTTAAAATGTTACAGATAATTCACGTTTTAAACGTTTTCTAACCTTTTTAAATAGAAGAAACAAATTGTACTTCCACTGAGTTAACTTAAAAAATACGGGCAAAAAAGCAACATTGTGCATCCCCATTTTATTTGTCCTGATGTGTAAATTAAGAGAACTACAAGAAACAATAACTTGAAATGTATCTTTTTTTGTTTTTAAGGTTTTGCCAGTAGTGTACCAATGCAGGTCTCGGATCAGCCGTACACAGAAGAGCACGACTTCCAGCCGGTCAGCTCCTCTACAGTCAGCCCTGGAAGAGAAGATAAAAACCCAAATGATCTCACGGATCTGAACCAGAAGCTTTGGGAAAGTTTAGAAAAACATGGTAAAAATAAAGAGAGAGAACAGATTAAAGAAAGCGAGGATGATTTTGGAGTGACAAAAGAATTCGATTCACACGATTTAAACAATGAGGAGATCTTGGAAGAGTTTGAAGCGAATCATTTAAATATTTTGAAAACTGGATCAGGATACGAGGGTTTTTCCGAACACCCAGAAGCTAAGGACACGATGAAGGGAAGTGAGGATGAGATTATCGAGGAGAAGATGATCCATGAGAGTCAGAAGAAAGAGGATTTGTCACAGATCGAGCAGATGGTACCATCAGAAGTTGTGCAGGCAGAGCTGGAACCGCCCGTTTCTGAGGAAAGGACGGACAAGACCAGAGCATGTGAAGGGGACAAGGACAGGAGGGGGACGCCTTCTAAGACGCACGGTAGAAACGTCAGCAGTCTGATGGATGGAGAGAAAACATGGATTTTCACCTGGACGTAGTCGACTACTTTAGAACTTTAAATTGGACTAATTTCTGTAACAAATGAACAAATGCAGACTAATATTTTAAGTTTAAAACTTTCCTGAGTTTGCCCTCTTTGTATAGAGTTCCTTCAGTTGAAATAAAAGTGTAAAGAGTTATCTGTGATCTGTATAAAACTATGTATGACATTCTGTGCCAAGAAAACCTGTCTGGCAGAAAATACACCACAAATTAAAACGTAAAAAAAAAGTATTAGAATCTGTGTGTGTGTGTGTAGACATTACATAGACAAACGAAACAACCATTCGCGCTCACCTAGGAACAATTTAGTTACCAATCAGCCGAACATGCATGTTTTTGGCCTGTGGGAGGAAACTGGAGTACCTGGAGAAAACCCACACACAAAAGGCCCCAGGCTGGGATTTGAAGGGGCAACTTTCTCACTTCGAGGCACCAGCTCTAACATTAGATTCACTGTGCCACCCATCTACATTTAAGATAAAAGCTAAGATAGAACTTTACTGATCCTGCAGGAAAATGCTGTGCCAGAGTTTCAGTACAAAGGAACATACACCAGGAATCACAAAATATAAAAATTTAACAGAATATTAAAAAAACAATATAAAAATACCAGCAATTAAGATCTAAACAGGTCAGATGCAGACACGTGTGAAATGTCTGTGTGATATGTTTTAATGTGAAAAACAAAGTGCTTATTGTGGTGGATTAATTTATTTTTTAGTATTAATTTAGCTCTCTTTCTTGTGTATATGTGTGTGTGTATATATATATATATATATATATATATATATAGATAGACGGATAGCTAAAGATGGTTAGATAGCTATAGATGGATAAATATAGATGGATGGATAGTGGCCCTGTGATGGACTTGCGACCCGTCCAGGGTGTACCCCGCCCCTCGCACAGTGATTGCTGGACATGGGCACCAGAGACCCCCGTGACCCAAAATGGAATAAGCGGGTAAAGATGATGGATGGATGGATGGATAGATATAGATGGATAGATAGCTATAGATGGATAGTTATAGATATAGATATCTAGAAAGCTATAGAGGGACAAATATAGATATAGATAGATAGATAGCTATAGACAGATAGATATAGATGGATAGATAGCTATAGATGGAGAAATATAGATATAGATGGATAGATAGCTATAGATGGATAGTTATAGATATAGAGGGACAAATATAGATATAGATGGATAGATCGCTATAGATGGACAAATATAGATATAGATGGATAGATAGCTATAGAGGGACAAATATAGATATAAATGATAGATAGCTATAGAGGAACAAATATAGATATAGATGGATAGCTAGCTATAGGTGGACAGATATAGATATAGATGAATAGATAGCTATATAGGGACAAATATAGATATAGATGGATAGATAGCTATAAGTGGACATATACAGATATAGACAAGGTGTTAACTTTTTTACTTTAAGTGTAAGTCTTCAATTCTTTAGGCGTGGACCTCTTCAATTTAAGAGAAAAAAAAAGGCTTATTGGGCTCTGTTTGCACAAGATGTATTTTACTCTGAGCGTTCTGTTTTAATCTGAAATAAAGACCCTAAATTTATTTGTGTGGGACTACTTTTAAATATGGTTAAAGAGCTAGTTGTTTACTATAGTGCAGTTTGTTAACAGTGAAAACATGAATGCAGGTAGGCAAGATCATAAGACAAAAGTTGGACTTTCGTTTGAGGAGGAAATTTTAGTAACTGCACCTCTGTGAGTTTTAATTGAATACCACTAGACTTACTCATGAATCAGGATTATCACTGTGGGGGAAAAAAAATCACTGTAATGCCACTTCGACTGGTGATATGTGCTGCTGATTATCCATGCTGCTGATTATTTAAAGCTGCTGTACTCATTCATACTCATCTGCTCACACACTCATGTTCGTGCTGCTGTTGATACGCCGTATCGTTTCACATTAGTGTTTAGCATACTGTATATTTTAGATCTTTTAGCCATACCATTTGGCGTTGGGTTAGCGTACATCTTAGATCCTTATTTACGGTTTCTTTTTATATTTATATTTTTGCTACTGTCAGATGTAACTGGGACCCTGTGTACATAATTTTGTTCCATCTCATGTACCACATGTGATGTAATGACAATAAACCCTGAACTTTATATTGCAAAATAGAACAGATGAAACACATGAACACTGTTAGACTAATTGTATTCAACAACCCAGAAGTAGGCATGAATATATCTAGACCACAATGCTTTGCAAAATACAGACTGTGAGCATGCCCATTAGTAACTATAAAAGGTCAATTCACAAATCTTGAATGGGGCATTTCTGCCTACAGCAAACAAAAAAACAGACCAGTTGAAACGGTTGGATTCATCCAGAAATCTTTATTTTCCTTTAAATGATTATTTCCTCTATTACAGTCTCAAGCATTTAAATTTTTTTTTATCATACAACAAAGTAATTATAACTGTGAAGGCCTCGACTCCATCAGCAGAAAATGAGCTTCATTTTAACTATTGTGCTTTTTTTTTTTTGTATCTGACATTGTCGTCATGAATGAAAGTGTAGAAAATTTTGATGTGATTGAGTATTTATACAAAAACTAAAATTTATACGATATCAGAATTTCATTTATTACAAAACACGACATTCTATCTGTAGAAACCCTCCTGAAACAGGAACAAAATAACTTAAGATATTTCTTTTAAACAAATATAAGTGATGAGGAAATTCTTTTTGGAAAATTTACATAACTCTGCGGAACAGATCCATAACTATTAGGTATATGTTAAATATACAAAATATGGTTTTATTTACAGAAAAATTACCAAAAAGCCCAATATAACCAGTAAAAGTCTAAAGCTTAGATTCAGCAGGACATAATGTAAGTGGCACAATCACTGTTTGACACAAGAGGGCAGAATATCACAATCTCTACAATTTAAAGCTCAAACGGCATTAACTCTATAAAACACAAACTGAGCAATAGAGTACATTAGGACCCACGCCTTAAAAATCAGGTTCAACCACTGCAGAACAGAGAATGTCTCAAATTAGAATTTCATGCAGCCAAATCCATTTTTGTAATCTCTCAAACAAAAGACTTGCTTTAAAAAAAATCTAGGTCAGTCCTTCTGAGGTCTCCTTCAGACGTAAGAATCATGCTGATGTTGTCTCCTCTTGAACAGTACCTGCTGTCCCATTAATCTCCTCTGCCACATCTGTAAACAGAAAGTGTGAAAATGATTAGACTAGTGTCGTGCAAAAGGTCCAGCTGATTTGAATTTTGGCTGTTCGAGCAGCTTCGCTATAGGATTGCCAGTGCAACTCGGAAACCATGTTTTCTTAAATACGATTAGACCTACTACTGTAAAGTACTGATGTGAAAAAGTCCGTTTCATTTCTTTCATTTATTCATATTCGTCTTACCTTTGATACCATCGTGCTGCGCCTCCTGTCCTGCAGTTTGCTCTATAGCTTCACTGGCTTCAACTTCTTTACTTTTAGTTTTGGGTTTCTTTGCAACAGGTGGCGGCATCTTTAATCCCACCTTTGACTCTGCTTGACTCGTCACTTTGGTCACAGAAGAATCCTCCGACTTAGTTTGCGCTATTTCCTTGTTCACTTGCTTATGCTTTGTCACAACTCCTACCACAGGGTTGCTTTTGGAGAAGACGAAGCTCGGACTGGTGCTCGGGGGCGACACCGGGGAGTGCAGGCTCAGGCGAGAAGCAGGACCTTCTTTTGATCTGGCTGCTGTCCTGAGACGGATGGCCTCTTGTAGGTTCATAGAGACAGAAGTGGTTGTGGTAGTGTGAGACTTTTTCACAGGGGAGGCTACAGGTGATGGCGATGCTGGTGGAACCACAAGAGATTGGGACGGTTCTGAAGTGGAGGTGAGAGAAGGGACAATCAGGGATTTTCTGATGGGCTTCTGAGGAGTCTCATTGTTGGATGAAGAGGTCTGTCTGTTGGACGTTTGTTGGTTCACTGTGGCCTCAGGCTCTGGTTGCTCTTGAGCTTCCGATGGTTCAGGGCTGTTATTGACTGATTGAAGCCTGACTATTTGCAAGGGAGCTGATGTGCTGGTGGACTTGGTTTCTTCT